GTTCCCGACTTGGTCGGTGCCATACGAGACTTGCTCACCACTAGTGAGCAGTTCACCACCCAGCTCGTGTCCACTGTCCTCAGGCAGCTAAAATTTCCGTAGCTAACTGAGCTGGCATCAGAAAAAAATATGCAATTTATCTGTCATCCCGTTCTGCAGCCCACCTTGCACGTAGCGTCGTGGAACGCCGACGTTCTTCAAGGCCATCATGCTTGCTCTCTACTTCTCAAGCGTTATTGCCACCTTATCTGGTATGGACTCGTCCCACCCAGGGCCTTCGCGGCACAACTCTCTCAGGAGTAGCTTGCCCTTCAAAACGAAAGCAGAGACCGGGCCTTGGGGTCAAGCACCGAACTCACCACCGACATGATGCCTCTCCTGTTCACTTGTTTAGCACTCGGCTTCACCTGGATGGAGAACATATCAGTTCATGTGTTCCACTCCACTGCCAATGTCCGTTGAACGGGGAGGCTGTTGGAACCAATAATCAAACTCCGCAGTCCTGCACAGCGACTCTCTGCCGGCACAGACTTCACAACATCAATGTTGTTCGAGATGATCTTGTGAACTTTGAATCCTCTACGTTCACATAGTCTTCTGGTTACATCAATGAATCGTACCGCCGTATCCACGTCTTGAACAGATGCGAGACCGTCGTCGATATAGAAGTCGTTTTCACGAAGCTGGCAGCTTGCTTTTCGCTACTATCATGTTGACCGTCAGCTGCAGCTCTCAGCGTAAACATTGCGCACGCGGGTGAAGACGTTGCGCCAAAAATGTGAGTCTTCATCCTGTGCTCACTTGGGTCCTTTCCCAGGTCGCCGTCCTTCCACCAAGGGAAGCGGAAGGGCTTGAGATCTCTGGCGTCCGCGGACGCCTGGTTGAACATAGTCACAGGAGATCGATCTCCTCCAAGTCACAGGAGATCGCCACAGGCTGCTGACGGAAACGACACAGGATTCCGGTGAGGCTGTTCGTCATGTCGGGGCCCTGCAGGAGGTGGCTGTCCAACACATGGCCTTCGAACTCGGCACTGTAGTTGAAAACGGCACGGATCTTGGACTTCTGCGGGTGATAAACAGTGTGGTGGGGGAAGTGCGACACCCCGCCGTTGTCGAGTTTCACTTCGTCACTGGGAACCTCTTCTGCATGCCCCTTTGCCACAGCCGTTCCCATGAATCCAGAGTAGTCGCGGCGATAGGACTCATTTCTCACGAGTTTCGAATTCAGCCTTTTCAATCGTTGCATTGCCACAGTTTTGTTGTTTGGAAGGGAAACTTTGTTACTCTTCAGTGGAACCAGCATCTCATAATACCCATCTTCCCGTTGCCAGATCCCCTCCGACAGGAGGGGATCTGTCAACGGGAAGTCATGTTGCCAATGTCATGTTGCCAGATCCCCTTCCTCACCAACTGCTGGTCTTGGATCGACAAGTCTGTCTTGTTCTCTCGTCTAGTTTCCTGGAAATCTGACTCAACCAGATGCATCACTTCTGGTGGGCTAACGTCACGCACCTGCGACTTGAAGGCGAAGTGGCTACGTTCTTGGTGCCCTTCACCTGTGTCCACCAGATGGCATGGCTCTGCTGCGTCCAAACAGACATATTTGTCATACTCAAATAAAAACGGTGCAAGCGGGGAGCTTTCACTGTGACGAGTTAAGTCAGCTGCACTAAACTGAACATGAAATCGCAGTTTCCACTTTCTTTATCTGTAAAACAATTTTAAAAACTTTTTTAGGTTTGAAATAATTTGGGCTCCCACTTTAAACGTCAGCTTGCGCTTTTCCTCCTCATATTTCGGGGGATACATTTGAGATTTGAGGGAATAAAAGGACAGGGGGGGGGGGGACAGTGGGCCACTCAAAAGACTAGAAATCGGCAGACGTTGTCTGCCGAATCGATGTCTCATTCTACCCAAACGGTAAATCATACGTCAAACTTGCGGCCACTGCATAACGTGAGGGTACAGCCTGCCGAATACAACTGGCCGCATGCAGGTGTTTTCTTGACGCGGGGGGGGGGGGGGCTAGCCGAATCCTACGTTGCCCAAACTGGTGCCCGAGAAGGGGGAGGAGCGGGCAGAATCGCTGGTCTTGGAAGTCAAAGATCTGATATAACAGCTCCATAGCCAACTCTGTTCGGATATCGTAACGTTCCCGGGAATTGGAATTAAATCCCACCCGCCTACCCCTTCAACGACGCCCCTCCCCCTCCCGCCTCTCCCCCCCCCCCCCCCCCCGGCACGTTCCGTGACCTAAACACACACTCTGCAGGCATCGGTGGTTCAGTGGTAGAATGCTCGCCTGCCACGCGGGCGGCCCGGGTTCGATTCCCGGCCGATGCATCTTTGGCTGAGTTTGGCTTTGTTGTTAATCCCGCAGCAGAAGTATCAGCAGCCTTTAAAAGTTGTCGCGTTACAGCCGCTGCTTCTACTGCGGAACACACAACATTGTGGACGATACGGTAAGTGATGATCTCTCCGCCACCTGTCTGAGCACCTGTCTGGTAGGTCAGAGTTCAATGGAACGTTTTACGTTTGAGAATATAGACATCGGATATGATCGAACAGGCTCATTAATAGCTATTGGTATACTTTTCGAAGGGAGTTCTTCACATTTGAAAATAGTGAAGCAAGGATCCGATGTGATGAAAAAGCTCACGTAAGCATTTGTTTAAATGTTTCACATTTAAAGATCTTTAAGCAAGCGTCAGATGTGATGGAACAAGCTCACTTATAACTGTTGGCATACTTTCTAAGTGGAAAGGACTGCTCCAGACAGTACCATTCTCCGTTTAGCAGATATGCCCCCTTATGCGTCACGGTTTTATTGTGTCAACGTACCTTTCACAACATTGATTGAGAGCCAATTAAAGCCCGTTTTGAATGAATGTCGCGCTAGCAAATGCCAGATATCAGCGGCTCTACTTTTTTGCTTAGATCGCTGAATGGCCTACGGCATGGCAGGATTTGAGTTAGGTTATTATGACGTCACGAGATCCAAAGTGACGTTGAGATACTCTCCCCATTTTCGTGGTCGCTTAACTCAGGAGCATAACGGGCATAACAAGGGCAGGGTTGTAAACAACACTTCAAGGTCTTCAACATGGCTGTTGTAGCCCATAGCCCCGTATGAGTGTGGAGCACTCCTTTTAATACAATGCCTGTCAGTGCAGGTATTATATTCAACAGAGGAAAGGCTCTCATGTCATATCTTCATACACAACACAATTCCTGGGCGTCACTAGAAGGCCGCGCATTAAAATGGTTGTGTTTAAGGCCTGTGTGAACTGCACAAGCACACTTCATATAATTCAGACCACTGCAACACATTCAGGTACCGACTACAGAACGCGGACTTGAACCGAATGTCCCTGGCCACCAGATCAGTAGGTGAGGGTGTACAGTTGTACAATGCATGTTGTTAGTGTCTGCGGCATGCTCGGACGCAGTCCTGCCAGTTCTCGATGATACATCACGTTCAGTGATAGGAGAATAATACAATTCCTGTGCCGCAGACATGTTAACACACGGCAGCCGGGAGCAGTGACTCTGCCAAAACACAAAAATGAACAGCTGACGTCATAGTTGAAGTCTGTCAGAGCTACAGATGACGCTGACAAACGGAAACGCACGTGTTCTACACCCCAATGCCACCCGTGTTGCGTGTGCGTTACAGCCGCAGCTGCTACTGCAGAACACACAACACTGTCGACAATGCGGTAAGTTATGTTGTCTCCGCCACCTGTTTGCGCAGCGCAGGAATAGATTATGATATATAGAGGCTTTAAAGGGAATATCTTGCCCATGAAAATATTGAAGCAAGCATCAGATATGACGAAACCAGCTCACTTATCGCTATTGGCACACTTTTGGGGTGGAAAAAAGTTCCAAACAGTAAAATTCCCTGTTTAGCATATACGCTCCTCAATGAGTCATGAACTGATTACGTCATCGTACCAAGCGCATATTGACTGAGAGCCAACTGCCCGCCGTTATAGCTGGAAATCACGATGACAAACGCCAGATATAAACACCCCGACGACAATTTTGTTTTGCCTTAACCGCCTCATGGTTTACCATATGGTAGGATTTCAATAAAGTTGTCATGACGTCTTGAATGTCAAGGTGATTTTGAATTGCACTCACCATTTTCGATGTCGTTTAGCTCAGAAACTAGTGGGGCTTAGATCTTAAGATGTGCAAAGTTGTCGACACACCGGAAGGTGTTCAAAACGTTTATATCAGTTGAAAACCCCATGCAAATGTGGAGCACACCTTTTAATCCATTGCCTGCAAGTGCAGGCCTTATATCCAAGAGGGCAACAGTGCGTGACTTGTCTTCATATAAAAGACAATGCCGGGTAGGCGGGGGGGGGGGGGGGGCGGAACGACACCGCGCCTTAAACTGGCTGCTTTTAACACCTGTGAGAACTGCACTACACGCGCAATCAATTCAATTCAGACCACTTCATCATATGCGGGCATGGATACCAGAGCACGACTGGCCACATTCAGGTGCCGGCTCGGGACAGCACAAAACTCCTTTTGCGGGAGATACTTACTCACGCTTACCTTTTTTCAATGTAATTTGTATGCACCCAAACAGGCACGTATCTCGCACCACCAGAGTGGATGTGCTCATCCTGCGAGAGCAGAATTGCATTGCCGATGGGGTGGCGACGTGGGGCAGAGCTTGTGGGCTCGACAAAGAGCAGGCTTTTGATGGGAGGGGGAAGTGGTAGGTGGGCTTGTTAGAGTGGTGCAAGGTAACTCGCAACAACAACTTGTCAAAGATTACGAAACTAAGATTTACAATCGTTGCCGGGTAAAATCCACATCCAGTGTTAGATGTAACGATAGGCCACACAATGTTGCATGGATCAGCATAGATCATACATGAAGTAAAATATTCTACTAATGGGTCCCTACCATACTGTCCAAGGTACAGAATGTCCAAACGTACAGAATGTCCAAGGTACAGAATGTCCACATTTCATAATGCCCAAGGTACGAAATGTCCAAAATGAGAAATAACCTCCAAAATGGCTCAGAGTGGAGGTGTTCATAATGTCTAAAACACACAATGTCCAATGTGCAGAATGTTTAAGTCTCATATTGTCCAACGTACCGAATGTCCAAAGTACGCAATATCCAAGGTACGGAACGCCCAAAGCACACAATGTCCAAGGTACAAAACGTCCAAAGTACGAAACATCCAAGGTGCACATTGTCCAAAGTGCAGAATGTCCAATATAGATTCTGGGGCGGCCGTCAGGGTGTGAGCCCTCGCCCTTATTGGCAGGCAACAGCATCCTGGGCTGCGTCGGCTGCGCATATAGTCAACACCATTACTGCTACTCCGCCGGAGGCCACCGAGCCGCCGGAGCCGACGGACCGTCTAGAACCGCCGAAGCCGCCCAAGCCGCCGGAGTCCACGGAACCACCGGACCGCCCAAAGCCGCCGGGGCAGCGGGTGCCCCCGGAGCTGCCCGAGCCGCCGGAGCCGCCGCAGCCGCCCCAGTCACTAGAGCCCCCGGAGCCGCCGGGGCCGCCCCAGCTAGGGGCTACGATGCCCCCGCCCCCGCCGGGGGCCACGATGGTGTGTGGAACCAGCCCAGACCGGTAAGTTTAAGCGAAGTTGTCTGTCGTAGAGGACTCATAGTTTACTTGTCAAATCCGCATGGTGCGAAATTGTGTTATATTGGCTTTCGATGACGCGCATAAATCGCTTGCTTCGATGAAATTGAAATGTTACAAATGATCCCTATTTTAACCCAAAAAGCAAGGTTCGTTTGAACACGAACCACTGACTAAATGATAACACTAATCCAAAGCAATTTCACTTGTAAAGCGCCGACTCAAGTTTTGACATAACAAACCAATAGGGGTGCATAAGAGCACCGAGTCGTTGCTGACAAACATAAAACTGTGTGTGTAATGTAATGTTCGAGGTGTGCTTGCAGCGCTGGGATACTGACTTTTTCAGCTGCACGTGAATAATATCATACGCTTACCGTGATAAGTCGCACATAAATGGTGATGATGTGAAATTCTGCACTTGTTTCATTTCAACGCAGCAAATTAAGAATTTCAAACATGCTAGGATATGAATGCTGATGTGCTGTTCCCTTACCCCGCAGAAATGTCAGACATGCCTGCAGTCTGCAGCAGTCAGGTCCGCCGGGGCGCGGTTCTGTCATGCCTCCATGCCGACGGCTGCGTGCGGTGCCTGGGAACAATCCAGGCGCGCGCGCGGCCGGAAGGCGGGCCATATACCTATTACCTATTACCTATTTTATTACCTATTTATTACCTATTCTGCCGGGCCCGCTTCCGGGAGCCTCCCAGGGAATTTTTTGTAAATGCGGCCGGACGCGTTGTTGCGGTATCATACCGTTTTTGTTTGTTTAGTACGTCTGGAAAACGTTCATGGCTATGGATTTTCGTTATTACGTAGGGGACTGGAATTGTACGGAAACCAAAAGATACTGGGAAAATGCTACCACATAGCAAGGTGCAATACGATGGGAAATATACAGCATATTTCTATATACAGCATATTTCTCTGAAAAAGTTTGGAGTGGTCAATATTTGCAGCGTCAACACTTAAGCAAGCAAACTATAAGATTGAATTGCAGTCCGTCCTACTCCGTACCTTAAAACTGCTGAAGGACGGCTCCTTTAGTTTCATTCAGACCATGACAGCTTTTCTGCGTGGGCTGTGCCACGGAGGGGGAGGGGGAGAGGGGCCAAGCGGACAGGTTAAAGCAGTTGAACATTACATTTTCCTATTCGGAGCGAAAACTTCTGAAAAGCTTCACTTCCCCTCAGCCAAATCAAATATGTTACGTTAATGAGCTTGGGTGGTTTGTACTGTCGCTGAATCAACTTGGATGATATTGTACTAAGCTGACTCAGTTCGTTGGATTTTGTACAACACTAAAATGCGAAATAAGTGAGGGGATGTATTCCCGAAAAAATGCGGTTTCGTAGCAAAGAATTTCTTTTGACCAAGCACTTTTGTATTAGCTGCGCCAGGTCGGTCCCAACGATATGTACAGCAGGATTATGTAACGTGGTGACGAAGTGGCACTGGAGTGGCTTAGGTTTATACTTAATGAGCCCCGCCATGAGCCAAGAAAACGGCTAGCTAGGGTTTAACAGGGGAAATAGGCCGTAAAAATATTTTTCTGTGCTTCAAATTCTCTCCTTTATTCTCTACAAATGATTCACCCTTCGGTGCGTATCAGACATGTTTGGACGGCTGGCGAACTAATGCGATCGATGCATGAAGTATATGCAAATTTGCAGTTAGAGCAATTTTGCAGCGAAATTGGTCAACACTTTAAGCCATCGATGGTGCCTTTAAAGACGATCGGAAATGAAAGAAAAACAAAGTTGTATTACAACACATGAGACGATGAGACACAAAAGTAATTAAGTAAGCATAAAGATTCAAATCTGATCGGTGACGCTTTGTCATCAACTAACATCACTGAAAATCTGTGAAAATTAACGCTCAAATTGTGGTATTCAGCTTGACGGCGGGCGACGTTGGTGACCACGACGGTGGGCGAAGCGGGTGCTCCGAGCGCGCCTCGCCCAGAAGGACCTCAGCACACTGTCGATGATTACGCCGGTTTCCATCTCGGCATGGAATGTGCCTCGTCCATCACCCACGAGACAAGGTGCCACGTTCATCCGCAGATCGCCGGGTATGGTACTGATACTGACTCTGGCACTGGGGCTTGCGATAGGCCTACGATAGCCCGGGGCTCTACAGCCGGCTGCGGCAGGGTCGGTGGTGTCCTGGCTTCGATCTCTGAGGTTTCGTCACGTTCTGATCCCATCACGACGCCATCTCTCGAGAAGATCTGCACCACATTGCAAGATTGTCGACGAACAGCGAGCTATCAGTGGACTGACGCCATACATCTACGACGTCATGGATCATTAGCGCAAAAAGTGCGACACAACGCCATCCTAGGACACACCGCTCCGTTGCAAGAATCGATGAGAAAACTGATGACCAACGAGGATGCCAAAAAGAAACGCTCTGCTTAAAAGTTTTGTAAAAACTACGCATGTTACCACGAATACCGCGGTTAAAGACGTTCACGACAGTCCCGTGTCGTCAGGTGATGTGGTAAGCGGCCTTTATGTAAAAGAAGAAAGCTCCCACACAGCGATGCTCTTTAAAAGCACCAGGAACAACAGTATCCAAGGTAAAAAGATGGTCTAACGTTCTACGGTGTTTCCAAAAACCTCACTGAGATAAGGTAAAATGGTTTGTTTCCCCAAAAGCACGAAAGATCGCCATTACTAAGGCTCTCCATAAGATCGCACAGTACCGATGTGAAATCGATGGATCTGTAATGAAGTCGTAAGCAAGTTGCACGGAGGGGGAAAGCCCACTGGACTGACCACGTGGAGGGTTTTATGACACAAAAACTTGGGATCTGTATTAATGCCTAGGTTGTGCTGTGCCTTCAGAGGGTTGCAGGTGACAGCCTCACCGTTTGCGGGGCGGGGGTAAAACGGATACTTGGGAGAGGGACTGTGGGCCACCCAGAAGATTACAAATCGACAGCGGTCGTTTCTTGAATCTAGAACTCATTCTACCCGAAGGGTAAATAAAACTTGCGGCCACTGCGTAAGGTGAAGATACCAACAACCGAACACAACTGGCAGCATGCAGGTGTTTTCTTGACGCCGGAGGGGGGGGGGGGGAGAGCGGTGACCGAGTCCTATGAACTGGTGCTCGAAAAGGGGGAAGAACGAGCAAAATCGCTGATTTGGGAAGTCGAGCGAATGAAACAACAGCACCATAGCTTACGCCATGTGGGCATCGCAAGAATTCCGGGGGGGGGGAAATTGGCCCCCAAATACCCCCCCCCCCCCCACACACACACACGCTCTATGATCCAAACCCAGGCGCATCAAGCATCGGTGGTTCAGTGGTAGAATGCTCGCCTGCCACGCGGGCGGCCCGGGTTCGATTCCCGGCCGATGAATGTTTGGCTGAGTTCGACTTTGTTGTTAATCCCGCAGCAAAACACATGTGCTCCGCCCTGCAACGCCACTCGTGATCTATGCGTATGTTTCGCGTTAAAGCGCCAGCTGCTACTACACAACACGCAAAACTGTCGACGATGCGGTAAGAGATGATGCTTCCATCACCTGTCTGCGGAGGACAGTGATAGGTTAAATAGAAAGCTTTGGAGGGAGTTTTTCATATTTTAGGATACTGTAGAAAGCATCAGATATGATGAAACGGACTCACGTATGACTATTTGTATGCTTGTTAAAGGGAATGTTTCATATTTAAAAATATTTAAGCAAGGTGTGATGAAACAAGCTTTCTTATGGTTTTTGGTATACTTTTAAGCGGAAAGGGCTTCTCCAGGGAGCACAATTCTCCGTATAGTAGAAAATTGTTTAATGCGTCACGGCTTAATTACTTCATCGTACCTTCAACATTCATTTAGGGCCATTTGATCGCCATTATAACTGGAAATCGCGCCAACGAATGCCAGATATGAACGGCTCCACTTTTTTTACCTTTGTCGCTGCATGGCCTACGGGATGACAGGATTTGAATGACATTATTATGACGTTTTAAATGCTAAGGTGACTTTAAAATACCTGCCCCATTTTCGCGGGCGATTGGGTCAGGAACTAGAGTGGCTGAGGTCTTAAAAAGGGTAAATATATACCACCACCTGTCCCAGCAGCGCAGTGACAAGTCATAACATAAAAAGGCCTTTAGCGGTATGTTTATGGTGGAACAAGCACCAGATATGATGGAACAACCCTATTTTTGACTATTGGTATACATTTTAAGGGAAATTATTCACATTTGAAATTAGTGAAATAAGCATCAGATGTGATGGAACAAGCTCGCTTGTAACTATCGGTATACCTTGGAAGTGGAAAGGACTGCTCCAGACAGCACCATTCTCCGTTTAGTAGATATGCTCCACAATGCGTCATGGTTGTACTGTCATCGTGCATTGCACTACATTGATCGATAGCCAATTGACGGCCGTTATTACTGCAAGTCGCGCTAACGAATGCCAGACATGATCGGTTAGACTGTTTTGTCTTAATTGCTGGATGGCTTAGTAGAAGTAAATCGAGAAAGATCGGCCAGAGGCAGAGACCAGGCAGGATATGAATGACGCTCTTATGACGTCACAAGATCCAAGGTGACGTTGAAATGCTCTCCCCAGTTTCGTGGGCGTTTAACTCAGGAGCATAAGGCACCTTGAGGTCTTCAGCTAGCTGTTTAAGTCCAAAACCACACATAAATGAGGAGTACTTCTTTTAATCTGTTGCCTGCCAGTGCAGGCCTTATATCCAACAGAGGAAAGCACTGCATGGCATATATTCTTACACAGCACAATTCCTGGGGGTCGTTAGAAGACCGCGCATTAAAATGGCTGCGTTTGAGGCCGGTGGGAACTGTACGCGCACAGATGATATAATTCAGACCACCGCATCACATGCAGGTACCGACTACGGAACGCGAACATGAACCTTTTGTTTCTGTTCACCAGATCGGCAGGTGAAGGCGTACAGCTGTATAATGCATTTTGT